CCCCCGCCGCTGCCGGGGGACCCCCGCACCCCCAGCTCAAGTAAGGGGATCCCTATAGCAGCCCTCACCTTGCTGCTCACAAAGCAGGCTCCCGCCCCAGTAGAGCAGCCCGAGCTCCCTTACGCTTCAGACCCAGGTCCTATTCAGGGGTCCTGACAGTTCTCTCTGGCCTCAACCAAACCCCTCCCCCAAATGATTGCTCCTCCCAGTCCACCAGAAGCCCCGCCCCCCTACCCCAGATCCCTTTGTCTCCATCCCAGGGATTGTTTGCTAGAATCCCAGGCAAACACCACTTTCAGTTCAGAATCCTCCCAACAGGCCCCGCCCACAGGCCCTGGCAGCCTATCCCAGGCACCTTGCTTACCAGCTTTGTACCTCTCAGCCGGTCTGAACCTCTCCTGCCAAACACACTCCTTATCCCAACCGACCCCCCCCAAACTCCTCCTGGAGTTTTTCATAGTCCCCATATGATTCCACTCTTCCTAGTCGATCCTCACATTTCTCCCAAAGTCTAGGCTCCTCGCTGGCCCATTTCAGTCTCCTACACCAACCTCTGCCTCTTCTATCCCTCTTAAGTCAAAAGTTCTCCCTGCCCCACCCAAATGCTTCCCCCTTCGACTGATTTGCCCCCTACCAAACTGTCTTTTACCCAAGCCGTTCCCAATCCCACTCCCTCTGACGCCTCACCCTTAGACTGGAAACCTCTGCTCATCTAATGCTACCAAACCAGTTTAGAATAGAAAGATCAACCCAGGACCCTTCCCATTAATCCCACACTTCCTTGCCTTCTTCTCAAGGCCTCCCAGCTATTGAAATCCCACCTCCATGGCCCGGGGCTACCTCCCTCCCAAAGTCTGAGCCTTCCCAGCCCAAAGATTCTGACTGGGTCCAGGCCCAAGGTGGTGGGTGGGAAGGTCACAGGCACAGCCCCAGGATCAGAGGGGCAGGGCTGGGGCCGGGCCTGGGGTAACATTGTGTTTCTCTCCCCTTCCTCCCCTTCCTCTTCCCCCCCTTCCTCCCACGCCTCCACCTTGTCTCTCTCTAGCAAATCCCAGTCTCTGACCAATGCCTTCAACCTTCCAGAGCCAGCCCCGCCCAGGCCCAGCCTTAGCCAGGACGAGGTGAAAGCTGAGACCATCCGCAGCCTGAGGAAGTCTTTCGCCAGCCTCTTCTCCGACTGACACCCCACCCTGAGAACCCCCAAATCCCTGGGCAAACCATCTCTGGGCCCTGAATCCACTTCTCACTTGGAATCTACAAATTCCTTGAGAACCCCCCTCCTGGTTCTCCAACATCCCACTTCTCATTCCTCAAGATCCCTGTCTCTTGAGAAACCTCACTAGTGGTCCTAAACCCAATTCTCACATTTGGAACCCTCAAGTCCTTTTAGAACCTCACTCTTGGTCACCTCGAGATCTACTACTCAGTTTTAGAGGCTCCAAATTCCTGAAGAGGTCTGCTCCTGGTCCCCCCAGGGGGGGGTGTGCTTCTTTCTGAAAGCTCCCAAATACTAGAAAACCTGCTTCTGGCCCTGACCCAATTGAATCCTGAAATTCTTGGAAAGCCCTGCTCCTGATCCCAAATCTCTCTAGCACACCTTCTCTCCATGGAAAATTTCCAAATCCTCAAGAAACCCCTACCTTTGAGACCCTTTTCCAGAGGCCTCCCATCTCTCTGGAGATCCACATCTTCAACTGCCACTTACCACCCAGCCTCACCAGGATTACCCTTTAACTGCTCCCCTCAACCCTGATCAACAGGCTGGGAGCTCCTCCCACTAATAGGACCCCTCGGTTCCCCCAGGGACCCCTTTCCCCAGTTTCCTGCCTCTGACAGCTGTCTTTAAATATGCAAACTCCACCCATTCTCCCTTTGCACATGGGAGGCCGGTGGTCTCCCACTTCCCCACCTTTGCCGTGACGTCTGTGTCTGTGACTGACGTGGCCTCCTCTCGTGCCGTGCTTGGCATATGTGGTCCTCGTTCATCGTGCCGCCTGTGGTGACGCGTGCAGTGATGCTGTTTGTGTGGTCTGCACCTCCCTCCAACCTCCACTCCTTGCCTGGACTCACCCCCACCCCTCAGCGGCTCTGAATCCCAAGAGAAGAGTCGAGAAGCAAAATAAACAAGCAAAGGCCCAGCAGAATTCTGTGCTTCTTGGTGAGGAAAGAGGGGAGCCCTGGGCTGGAGGGGAGACACAGAGGGGACACCCCCCAATCCACATGGGGTGCTGGGAACCCCAAAATCCAGTGGAAGGCACATCAGGCACAAATTCCAGAGAGGTTTAGAGTGGAATCCCTGCCACAAATCCCAGCCATTGGAGATGGAGGAGCTCCTCAAATTTAGAAGCATCCCCCAAAACAAGAGGAAACCAAATCATGGAAGAGACAGGGGTCTCGGTCTTTGGAGTTCCCCAGTTCCAGAACTGGAAAAGCCACAGGGACCCCTTCATCTCCCAGGGTGGGGGATGAGGGATCCTGAGGCAGTATTGGGGCAGACAGAACGTTGATTGGTTGGTGGGTAGGGCTCCTTGGTGTGGCGGGCTGAGGCTGGCTCCCTGGTGGCTGGGGTTGGGGCCTAAGGCACAAGGCGGGCTGCGCTGAGTAGGCAGGCAGGCAACTCGTCAGCCTGGGTGCGGTGCAAGGAGGGTTCAGAGGCACTCCGCTCAATCTTGGGGAGTGACCGTTGCAGCAGCTCAATCGTGGCCAGGATCTGAGGGCAGGTGGAGGTGAGGAGGCATGTCCAGAGCCTCATGGGCACCCCAACACCCCCAGACCCAGCCTGATGGGGAAACACACACACACACAGTACACCTCCAAGCATTAAAACACATTCCCATCTGCCTCTGTCTCAGGACCCTCTACCACAGCAGAACCTCCCTCCCCAAGGAGTCCAGCCCTCCTACCCGGCCCACCTGGGGGAAGAGGGGCCTCTCCTCCCGCTGGAACTTGAGGCAGTCAGACAGCAAGCGCCGCATGGCCGTGGGGCAGTTGCTGGAGATTTTGCTGAGGTCCGGGGACAGATAGCCACGGCCCACCATAAAGATAATCTGGAGGAGGGGACAGTAATGAGGTGATCTGGGGTCCTGCCTAGGAAGCTCAGGAAATCCTAAGTCTCAAGGGACTTGGGAGGCTCCTTTTTTGGTAAATTGGAGTACTCTGGATATTAGAGTCCAGAGGATTCTGGGTCTCTGAGGACTTAGGATTCTTTGCTTATAAAATGGAGAGATTTAAGTTTGGAGTGTCAGGATTACAGGTGTCTGGGGCTGAGGATTATAGGTCCATGAATTTTTAGGGGCCCTAGGGTCTTGAAGAGTACTGTCTTGGGAAAATGTAGACTTCCAGGTCTGTGGGGAGCTGGCATTTTTGTGGGGTTCTAGAGCCTAGAGATCTATGGGCCCATGCGGTTGTAGGATTGTGAACTGTTTAGGGGTCAAAGCCTTGAAATTTGGGACCTGAAGGTTTCTGAGGGCCTGACAGTTTCTGGGCCTTGAACCTCGAGAACTCTAGGACCTAGAGCATTGTGGGTACCAGGGCCCCAAAGTTTGCCCAATATCTAAGGCCTTGGTGATTGGGGGTACCCGTTTCTGGGTTAAATAGGGTTCTGGATTTTCTAGGCATGGAGGATTTTGAGACCCAGAACAGAGGACTGTAGGTGTCCAGGGGGTCCAGAGGGCTTGGGTGTTTTGTTTCCTCCTCACCCAGGGGATTCTGGATATAGGGATTTAGTTTATTCTAGACTTTGAAGACCCAAAGGATAGTGGTTGTGGGGGCAGGAGGGTAAATCTGAAGGATTAATTAAAGGTGTTTGGAGCTAGGATTCTCATCCCAGAAAATTTTAAGCTTTTTGGGGGAAGTGTGGCATTCTTAGTGTGTGCAAAGGAGGGGATCTAGGAAGTGAAGGCCCAGGGGATCCCTTAGCCCCCCCTAGGTGTGGGGCTCACCTGGTCACGGCTGCCAATGTGGCTGTAAGGCAGTGAGCCAGTCATGAGCTCGTAGAGCACGACTCCGTAGGCATAGACGTCCGACTGGAAGCTGTAGGGGTTCGGGTCCTGCATACGGATCACCTCAGCCGCCTTCGATAGGCCAGGCAAGGCAGGGGGACCATGCAGGTCAGCAAATGGCTGGCCCACAGTCCCAGACCCCACTGACCACAGGGGAGATAGCTCAGAGCCACCCACACAAGCTGCAACATCAACACATCAACAGACCAGATACTGACACCTGGCATAAACATTCTCACCCTCATTTGGCCCCCTATGGCCCAGCCCAGGAGCCCCTGTGCCCATGTGCCACCTACCCAGCCTGGCTCAACTCACCATCCATAACACGGAGCCTGAAGGTTGCTCCAAGGGCTGGGCCCCACTCCACCGTGTCTTCACTGTGGCCAGGCCGAAGTCACCAATCTTCACTGTGAGACCCTCGTGTAGGAAGATGTCCACTGGGGTCAAGGGCCACTACAAGGACTCCCAAGAGCCTTGCCTCCACCCTGACTGAGAGGTTCCCATTAATACCCCCACATCAGTCATGCCTTCCACCAGAAGTCCCTCACTGTCACACAAACCACCCATGGTCTTGACCTGGGTGGGAAGCTCTGAAGAATGCACCCCACATTTGGCCTCGCTGTAACTCCTGACAAGGAAGACACTTGAATGGCATCCAAACCCACCCTATGACCTTCATCAGGGGCTCCCCATAATACCTTCCATAACTGCCACACCTTAGACCCTGACCAGCACCCCCAAAACAACAACTGAGCTGGCCACACCTGACTCCTCCAAGACCCCCCTATAAAACCCCCTAGCCACAGCTCCGCCACCTGACAAGGAGCCTTGCAATACACATCCCTCCCTCTTCATCTCCAGAAGCTCCCCACAAGAGCTCCCCTTCTAAGCCCTCACCCCAATCCCAGCCCAGGGATAGGCAGATACTGTTAGACTTGAGATCTCGATGGATGATGTTCTTGGCATGGAGGTAGCTGCGGGGATGGAGGCAGGTGGTGAATTGGCTGGAGGGTACCCCCACTTCCCCACCTCCTCCCCAGTCCCCAGGATGGGAGGCTCACTCCATGCCCTGGGCTGTCTGCCGGGCCACATCAATGAGCTGAACCATTTCGAAGCGTGTGTCGGCCACATGCAGGTGGTGATAGAGGCTGGAGCCCTCGCACCACTGTGTGATGATGGCAAATCCGGGCCGCGTCATGAAGCCCATGAACAGCAAGATGTTGACGTGTCGAGTCTTCCTGCAGGTAAGGTGGGGGATGTGTCAGGGGCAGGAAGGAAACACCACTGTCATTCACTCACTCGTTCATTGTACCAGCAATGGTGTCATGTATTGCCTTTTCAGCTTGTCCTTTAGCTGCTCAGGGATAGACCACTGCCCAATTGTATGAATGTCTGAGATATGGGGGGCTTGTCTATTATGAAAAAAACTATGCACGAATTTCAATTTTTTTTTGGGGGGGGAGAGGTTTTTGCTATAGGGCGCATGCACTCGCCAGACAGACAGAAAGCGAGAAATCACCCCCCAGGGGGG